GAGTGTGAGGCCATGATTGTAGGTCTTGATCTAGCTAAAAGCTTGGGAGCAAAAGTCATTGAAGCCAAGTGTGACTCTTTACTGGTGGTGAACCAAGTAAACAAAACTTTCAAAGCCATAGAGGATAGAATGCAAAGGTATTTGGACAAGCTGCAGGTAACTTTGCACCGTTTAAAGGAATGGACTTTACAGCATGTACCTCAAGAACAAAATAGTAAGGCAGATTCAATTGCAAATCTGGGGTCATCGGTCGAGGAAGATGAGATCAGCTCGGGGATTGTCATTCTACTCTCGAGATCTATGATCGAGGAAGGTCATGCTCATATAAACTCTACAAGCTTAACCTGGGATTGGAGGAATATATATATTGACCACTTGAAGAACGGAAGGCTCCCATTGGATCATAAAGAGTCGAGGGCCCTACAAACCAAAACTGATCGATTCACATTAGATGAAGATGGAACATTATACAGAAGGACATTCGATGGACCATTGGCATTATGTTTAGGACTAAGAGACATCGATTATGTTTTACGAGAGGTCAATGAAGGAAGTTGTGGGAACCACTACGGCGCCGAATCACTGATTCGCAAAATCATTAGACTAGGACACTATTGGGATAGCATGGAAAAAGACAGTAACGAGTTTGTTCGAAAGTATGATATATGTCATAGGTTTGCACCGATATCCTATCCCCATGGCCATTCATGAAATAGAGGATGCATATCATTGGCCCTCTACTAACGACCCCAGTAAAGCTAAGTTCATTTTATTTATGACTGACTATTTCTCTAAATGGGTTGAAGCACAAGCCTTCGAGAAATTGTGAGAGAAATAGGTTATAGACTTCATTTNAAATTTATATTTCATATGAAATCAGTAAAAGACATCTTTAAAAGACATATTTCTAAATGGGTTGAAGCACAAGCCTTCGAGAAATTGTGAGAGAAATAGGTTATAGACTTCATTTGGTACCACATCGCATGCCCATTTGGGATACCTGCCGAAATAGTGTTTGACAATGGAAAATAATTTATCGGCAAAAAAGTAACGAAATTCTTCGAGGACCACAAAATAAAAGGATTGTATCAATGCCATATCACCATAGTGGGAACGGACAGGCCGAATCGACGAACAAGACTATCATTCAAAACTTAAGGAAAAGGTTGAATGATGCTAAGGGAAAGTAGCGAGAAATTTTACCCGAAGTCCTTTGCTCATATCGAACAACATCAAAGTCTAGCACGGGGGCAACCCTGTTCTCCTTAGTATATGATTCCGAGGCCTTGATTATGGTAGAAGTTAGGGAACCTAACACCATATTTCAACATGCAATGAAAGAATCAACTTATGAGATGATGAATACTAGCCTCTAACTATTGGATGAAAAACGAGAAGTTGCACTTGTTCGGATGGTTGTGCAAAAACAAAGAATCGATAGATATTATAATAGAAGAACCAACCTTTGCGACTTCGGAATCGGGGACTTAGTTCTAAGAAAAGTCACCCCTCAATACTCGAGATCTGAACAAAGGGAAACTGGGCCCAAATTGGGAAGGACCATATCGGGTCCTCGGCGTCATCAAAAAGGAATCTTACAAACTTGGCACAATGAAGGGCGAACAATTGCCAAACAATTGGAATATTCACTCCTAAAACGGTATTATTGGTAAGGTATGACTTTCCCCCTTTCCATTTGTATTTGATACTAACTTATTGCAGGTGTTCAATCGAGGACATCAAGAAACTCTTCAACACGAGGATCTTAGGTTTTAAAGCATGCAATGGACTCTTTTTCCCTTAGATCAGTTTTTATGCCAAATGGGTTTTTCCGGCAAGATTTTTAACGAGGCAACAGTTATGTGCTACCTAAGGAAGATTCATTAGTATCCAAGGCTTCTTTACATTCATCATCGAATACTGGGGGGGTCACCCTTGGATGTTATATTTTTGAGGAAAGTACTTCATGTCAAAGGATCTCGTTTGGGAAGGTTTATAATAGGCCAAATGATTGAATGAACGGTGTCCATATAGGTCAGTCGAGCCCCGATGGAAAAACATGTATGCTTGAATAAATTATTCAAAGAAGCATTCTTTCTTTATCAAACATGTTGTGTCTCAAATAAATTTTTCTACTATACGAGCTCTATACTTATGATTTTTTGAAAAATGGCTCAACAGCCAGGCACAAATATGCCTCGAACACTCGGGGACTACTGTCGATGATCGACATATTCTAGTTATCTGAACTCGAATTAATAAGACCTCAAAGAGGCACCCCTTGACCTATAGGCCAAGGCCATCATTCTCGGGGACTAACACTTCGGACAAGTTTGAAGTGTTATTGGGGAATAAGCCCAAGAGGCACACCCAAATTCTACAACAAAGTTAATGCAGCTTAGAGACGTCCGAATCACTCAATAAAAATAGGCCTTCAAACTCTTTGAAAAACCAGTTAAAAAAGCCTACCCTCGGCAAATAGTCAAAAGGGCTTTTATAAAATTAGCCCTCAAAAAACCTTAAGAGCTATCAAATTATTTAAACACAAACGTGCTAAGGCACAAAAAGAAAAGGGGTTTCAATCGATATCGAACCCTAAAAAAACTCAATGGGTAAAAAATACATGCTAAGACATAAAGAAAATTTCCCTAAGTATTTTAAGCTAAAAAAGGGGAATAATAGCCATCTTTTAGAGGCCATATTGGCCCGATCTAAAGAGCCTACGGGCTAATACACTTAAAGTTAGAGGTCTTACTCTCACTCCACCCGAACCCAAGGGTTCGACTATTCCGGGCCCAAATAAAAAATGACTTGACTATGGCTCGGGGACTCCTCATTATTCGACACAAACCCTAAAGATCCGATGCCAAGATGCATTAGAGGAACTAAAGTGATACCTATCGAGCCTATCACAGCTTCACACTCCAAATGTATATGAGAAACGTTTATTATATTTGGCAGTATCAGAAAACGTGATAAGTGGTGTCCTAATTAGGGAAGATCAAGGTACGCAATTTCCCATTTATTTCATGTAAGTCGTACCTTAGGAGAAGAAGAAACTAGATATCCACACTTAGAGAAATTAGCACTTGCATTTATAAGCGCCTCTAGAAAATTAAGACCATACTTTCAATGTCACCCCATATGTGTGTTAACCACTTACCCGTTTCGCACTATTTTGCACAAGCCCAAACTATCGGGCTGATTGGTCAAATGGGCTATCGAACTCAGTGGGTATGATATCGAGTATTAACCTCGAATGGCCATGAAGCCTCAAATTTTGGCTGACTTCGTGTCCGATTTCATGCCAACCCTCGTGCCTGAAGTTGAAAAAGAACTTTTGTTAAAATTAGGCACATCATCGGGGGAATGGACCCTTTTCATAGACGGTGCTTCGAAAGTGAAGGGGTACGGACTAGGCATCATTTTGAAGCCGCTTACGAGTAACACTATTAGGCAGTCCATCAAAACTTCTAGGTTGACTAACAATGAGGCCGAGTGCGAGGCCATGATTGTAGGTCTTGAGCTAGCTAAAAGCTTGGGAGCAGAAGTCATTGAAGCCAAGTGTGACTCATTACTGGTGGGGAACCAAGTAAACAAAACCTTCGAAGCTGAGAGGATAGAATGCAAAGGTATTTGGACAAGCTGCAGGTAACTTTGCACCATTTCAAGGAATAGACTTTATAACATGTACCTCGAGAACAAAATAGTAAGGCCGATGCAATTGCAAATCTGGGGTCATCGGTCGAGGAAGATGAGATCAGCTCGGGGATTGTCATTCTACTCTCGAGATCTGTAATCGAGGAAGGTCATGCTGAGATAAACTCTACAAGCTTAACCTGGGATTGGAGGAATAAATATATTGACCACTTGAAGAATGGAAAGCTCCCATTGGACCCTAAAGAGTCGAGGGCCCTACAAACCAAAGTTTCTCGATTCACATTAGATGAAGATGGAACATTATATAGAAGGACATTCGATGGACCATTGGCATTATGTTTAGGACCAGGCGACACCGATTATGTTTTATGAGAGGTCAATGAAGGAACTTGTGGGAACCACTACGGCGCCGAATAACTGATTTGCAAAATCATTAGATCAGGACACTACAAGATAGCATGGAAAAAGACAGTAACGAGTTTGTTCGAAAGTATGATATATGTCAAAGGTTTGCACCGATGATCCTATCCCCATGGCCATTCATGAAATAGAGGATGGATATCATCTGACCTCTACCAATGGCCCCAGTAAAGCTAAGATCATTTTATTTATGACTGACTATTTCTCTAAATGGGTTGAAGCACAGGCATTCGAGAAAGTATGACAGAAAGAGGTTATAGACTTTATTTGGGACCACATCGCATGTCTATTTGGGATACCTGCCGAAAAAGTGTTTGACAATGGAAAATAATTTATCGGAAACAAGGTAGCGAAATTTATCGAGGACCACATAATAAAAGGATAGTATCAATGCCATATCACCCTAGTGGGAATAGACAAGCCGAATCGACGAACAAGACTATCATTCAAAACTTAAGGAAAAGGTTGAACGATGCTAAGGGAAAGTGGAGAGAAATTTTAAACGAAGTCCTATGCTCATATCGAACAACATCAAAGTCCATCATGGGGGAAACCCCGTTCTCCTTAGTATATGGCTCCGAGGCCTTGATTCTGGTAGAAGTCGGGGAACCTAGCTCCATATTTCGACATGCAATGAAAGAATCAACTCATGAGACCACTACAAGAAATTGGATAATTAGTGGCGACATTTAGCATAGTATCAACAACGACGTTAAAAGTTGCCATATTTTGAATATATTTAGCAGCGACTATTTATGGGTCGCCTCTAAAGTGGCTAAAATTTTCACTCCCGCTATAACTAAAAATTTGGCTCCATAATTATTGTGGCGACTACTGTGAAGTCGCCGCCAAATATGAATTGCAGTGACCGGGTCGCTCCTATTATCTTTTAAAATAACAAAAGAAATAAGCGAGAAATTAAAATAACAAAAGAAACACTAAAATCTGTCCAGAGGCAGAAGTAGCGAAACTCTCATCTCGAACACATCGACTCGATGTGAAGAACTGTGAAACGCCCAAAATCCGTCCTCTATAGCTAGAAATCCCAAATTGAAACCCAAAATCGATCCTCTCTAGCTAGAAATCTGTCCAGATATAGAAATTCCAAATCGAAATCCCTCAAAAATCTCAACCAAATCAAAATACCTCAAATCAGAATGTGAATTCGATTGGGTGTTTATGATACTTGTCGGAAACTTCATTTTGAAGCTAAATCTCAAGATTGGAAGCTGGTTTGACGAGTTTTGGTTTTAATTTTTGAATCAGAGTGTGCGAAGAAGAAGACCACTGCTGTGGAAGTCGATTCAAAGCTTCTTCAACTTTGAGAAAAAGTACTTGCTTTATGTTCGTTTAATCTCAAAATATCATCATACAAATCTGTTAATGAGACTAGATAAATTTCAACTTATCAGTTTCCTATTTGATGTCATCTGCTTCCTTAATACTGTATCTTACTGTGCTTATGCCTTGCAGGAATGTGTTCAAGTCAAAAATCACTGTCCGTCTCACAGTGCAGTGACTAGGTTCCGACCGAGTTTGATATTTCTCCGCATAAGCCCTGTAATTTCGCAAGGCTCCACTTGTGGGATTACACTGGGTTTTTTATTGTTGTCCTGTAATTTCATAAGGATCAGGGAGGCAGCTTATTTCTAGTTGTTCAGGTAAGTAATTTATATGGTTCAAGCAGGTACAATGTATTTAATTTGCCTGGCCTTTGTTTGAATGACATACATTGGTTGGCTTTGTAGGTTTAATGACTTTAGTTGTTAATTTCCACATACTAAGGTCTTGTGATTCTCTGGTAGATGTTCCTGTATATATGACCTAAGGCAACGATTAGAGAGAGATACATTTGAAGCTCGAACACCCCTAACCCAATTGAAACAGAAACAGTATCCTCAACATGATCAAAAGCTACAGTAGTCAACACCACCAGAACATAGATTATACATTAACAAACATGAAGAAAGGTATATACTACACTGATTCCAGAAAGATGTTTATTTTCTGCCATCACAGTGGCTCAACGAACTGCTAATGTTAATTGGTTTAGTTAGATTTGTACAAACTTCTATCTCCTCTACAACACCTAGCTCAAATTCTCTAATACAAAAAAACTTATAGAGAATAAGCTGGCTGTCCTTGTGGGATAGGGCAACTATAAATGCCCAACAGCATGAAAAACAAATTACACAACTTCTCCCTACTTAACAACTCTCCTTCTTCAGATCAAATAACAACTCTAGAGAACTAGCAAGAAAAATATGACAATTCATATTTCAGTTGGGTTGGCTTTGTAGATTTAATGATTTTAGTTGTTAATTTACACATACTAAGGTCTTGTGATTCTCTGGCAGATGTGCCTATATATGTGACCTAAGGCTTTGTAGGTTTAACGTTCACGAGCACATTCAGCATATTTTGATCGCAGGTGGGAAATTTTCCAAATGGTTAAACTGGTAACTATCCACTTTCAAAATTTAATTTAAACCTAACGCTAATACTAAATCATGTGAAGTGTAAACAGATAAACATAGAAGCTACTATTTTAATGTGCATGCCCTTGCTCAGTAGGAGGTACGAAGATTAAAAATTGGATAGTACTTTCCTAGGTTAATCCTCCCTTCTCTGTGCTCATATACCCTTCAGTAGGAGCTGAAAGCAATAACTAGGAAGAGAAGGTAACTAGACGCATAACACGCTAGACCAGTGATAATTTTTCTTCCAACTAAAGCCACTACTTAGCAAAACAAACACCAAGAACAGAAAACTTATACAAAACTAGTTAACAAGCCTAAGAAAAATGCGTTAGGAAAACTACTAATTTTTATAGCTCTATTTTTGTATTAACATCTATGAGTCACAAAAACACATCAAATACACATTACTAAGGTCATTTATTTTTGTAGTTTCATAGGTTGTTACGTACCCTGGTTTGAACTTGTTCTTCATTGCACACAATTCGTATAAGTATTTCTGGAATAGACTACTTCCTTCTTGTTTGAATAATGTATTTTTGTGACTGCTTGTCTGAATACCCATGGTATATGTTAATTATTATATATATATTTTGATTATTACAATCCTTCCCGTTTTAATTAGTAAATTAATTAATTTATTTTTTAATATATATATGATGGATAAAAGTTGGTTGAATATTAGGAATAGAGTCGACCAAAGATATAGAGATGGAGTAGACAACTTTCTTAATTGGCATTCAGTCAACCAATGGTGAACACTATGATTCAGTGTCCTTGTAAAGGGTGTATGAATACCGTGTTCAAGCTAAGGGTTGGTATAAGAGGAGATTTATTGAAGAAGGGTTTTTGTTATTCTTATAAAGTGTGGGACTTGCATGGAGAAGTGTTAGTTAGAGTTGAAAATTCTAATACTACAGTTAGTGATGAAGCGGAAGATGATAGCATTGAAGCGGATAATATTACTGAAATGATTCACGATGCTTGTGGATATACGAATGTGGAGGATAATAATAATAATTCAGAGGACAATGAAGAGCCAAATGTACATGCAACAAAGTTCTACAAATTGTTAGAAGATGCTGAGACAAAACTTTATCCTGGTTGTAAAAAAGTTTCGAAGTTGTCTTTTATTGTTAAACTACTTCACTTGAAGTGCCTTAACCATTGGAGCAACAAATCGATGGATGCATTATTGAGCTTCTTCAAAGAAGTTCTTCCCGAGGGGTCATTTGTACCTAATTCTTTCTATGAAGCAAAGAAAGTTCTTTGTGACCTCGGCTTAGGGTACACTAAAATAGATGCATGTCGAAATGATTGTATTTTATATTGGTGTGATTATGCCGATGTCCAAGCATGTCCTAAGTGTGGTAAGTCTAGATGGAAGTCCGAAGAACATGGAGGCAAGAAAGTAGCTCATAAAATCTTGCGGCATTTTCCAATCAAACCAAGGCTTCAAAGATTGTACATGGCAAGAGAAACAACTAAAAAAATGAGGTGGCACAAGGAGGGAAATGTTGATGATGGTGTCTTACGACATCCATCTGACTCAATAACATGGAAATCCTTTGATGCACGACATCCCACCTTTTCAGCTGAGTTAAGAAATGTTCGATTAGGTTTGGCGAGTGACGGGTTCCAACCTTATGAGAACATGAGTTCTAATCATAGCATTTGGCCAGTCGTACTAGCTACGTATAACTTGCCACCATGGGATTTCATGAAAAATCCATATTTCATGATGACGCTTCTTATTCGGGGCCCCAAGTGTCTAGGCAATGATATTGATGTATATTTACAACCAATGATTGAAGAGTTGCAAGAATTATGGGTCGGGGTGGAGACTTATGATGCACACTCAAGATCTAATTTTTTGATGCGTGTGGCTATCATGTGGACGATCAATGACTTTCCTTCATATGGAAATCTTTCAGGATGGTCAACTAAAGGCAGGTCTGCATGCCCTTGTTGCCATAAAGATACACAATCAACTTCCTTGCGTAGTAAGTTGTGTTATATGGGTCATCGTCGCTTCCTTACCATGGACCATCCATGGCGGAGAAGTAGGACGTTATTTGATGGGAAAGTTGAAATAGGAGTTGCACCTAACCCTTTAACTAGTGATGAAGCACTTGTGCAATTACAAGCTTTGGGTAATGTGAGTTTTGGTAAAAGACAAAAGAGAAAGCGTGATGTTCATAGCAATGCTTACAATTGGAAGAAGAAAAGTATCTTTATCCAATTGCCTTATTGGAAGAGTCTTATGTGTCACGACCCAAACCGATGGGCTGCGACGGACACCCAGTACCTTACTCAACCGAATACCAACGTAACGCATCTTTCTTATAACATCATCATATACACGTGACATACGGGACTAATAGGCCAACATAATCATTTATAAACTCAAAACATAGGCCAACAAGGTCGTACAATCTTTCACGTACACGATATATGTCTAAAAGCCTCTAAGAATACACAAATATCATAAAGGTCGAGACAGAGTCCCGCCATACCAAACAATATACGTCTAACTCATACTAACCAAACAAGCAACTCCAAAGAAAATGGAGCACACCAACATCTTTCGCTGAGTGGATAGCCTACATGGAGGGCTCTCGACCTGTCTATCGGGACCTGCGGGCATGAAACGCAGCATCCCCAAGCAAAAGGGACGTCAGTACGAATAATGTATTGAGTATGTAAGGCACATAAATAAATACATGAGAGATATTGAAGACATATAGAGTACATGACTCAACCTGTAAGTCTGAATAACTTTGTAAATCATAAATTACTTTTAACGTCATGCATACGCGTGTGAATGTCATGTCATACATAGGTACATGTTTCATAATATCATCAGCCTCTGAGGGCATCCCATCATATCATATCGGCCACTTTGGGCAAAATCATCATCGTATATCAGTTGATCAGGTGGTAGTGCGTATATAACGCTATAACCTTTCCCATATCCCATATACATATATATACATACATATATACGCGTGTATAACGCCGTTTGAGTGCATACATATATATGCGTATATAACTCTGTTTGAATCATATTTCAGCCACTGTGGGCAACATCATCATCATATACCAGCTGATCAGGTGGTGGTGCGTATATAACGTCGTAACCTTTTCCCATTCCATATACATATATTTACATATATACGCATATATAACACCATCTGGTCATGTATCAATGCACATAAATGCAATGCATGAAAAGTACGTCAATAAAATCATTCGGAAGGTCATAAGACCACTTTGCCTCTTGAGCAATATCATAAAGTAACATCTTTTCAACTTTCGTATTTTTCTGAGACCCATGAACAGATGATAAAATATTATGANCCTCTTGAGCAATATCATCAAGTAACATCTTTTCAACTTTCGTATTTTTCTGAGACCCATGAACATATGATAAAATATTATAACACATGGAATTTCAAGAACATAGATATCTCTAATACTTCTATGAATAGAGTAACTCATGGAATTTGTGCATTTGCACGTTTCGTTCGTATCGTATGGATCATGCCAAAAGAAAGAAGGGATAGCTTTAACGTACCTGTTCCTGAAAAATATGAACAAAACTACGCTTGAAATTCCTTGAAATTGAAACGAATTTGCCTTCTGCTTCTAAAGCTTTGTTAACCAAAGAATGGATTTAAGCAAAAATTTGTTCCAACGTTTTGCTTCAAGCTTCTGTTCCAAAGATTTTGGTTTCCATCCAAGGACATGAAATGATTTAGGTTTCAAATTTTAGATTTCAACGTTTTTTTAAGACTTGGAATGAAGACTTCCAAGGATTGACGTTTCTGTTTCTTGCTAAATCACATTTTTTGGTTCCTTCAGATTCTTCCAAGGAAATAACACTTAGAAGTCATTGTTGTATTAAATTATTATTTAAACTTTATCTATTCTTTAGGTATAGACACCTATTTACAAATGTTATGAATCATCCTTTAAATTGTTGGCCTTGTGCCACGTGGTGACTGGTTAATTTATTATATTTTTATCCACTTATTAATTAATTGGGTAATGTCCTGTTGCCCGGTAATTAATTAATTACCCGCATAATTTAAAAATAACCACAAATTACTAAAATTCTATTTATTTCTAAAAATACTTAATATATACTTTATATATTATACTACCGTGGTCATATGGTACCTTGCACGGTACTAGTTTATAATTAACGGGTGTTTGAGCTCAGGCCGTATTTTATTCCAATTTGTCCATTTTCAACGAAACTCATTTTTTTGACTTGCTTCCCCTTTTCACCTTTACGAATTTACTTATTACTTGTTTGAACTAGAATAATCCTTATAATCTCCAAATAATCTTTTCCTTGGACTGATGTCAGTTACCTTATGAGAAATTCAACGTACAACACTACATGATGCAACATCGTCGTAATGTAGTACTATGGGACGTGATATTGACGTAATATTGCGGGGTGTAACATTATGTTACGACATAACCTTGATGTGATGCACATAGAAAGAAATGTGTCCGATAATATTTTATCAACTGTCATGAATATGGTTGGTAAGACAAAAGACACATTGAAAAGTAGATATGACTTGATGGATCTTGGAATCAGACAAAGGTTGCATCCTATTGTGGATGGGAATAATATTTTGTTACCGGCAGCATGCTATGCATTATCCGCGGAAGAGAAGTTGAAGGTGTGCAATTTCTTAGCTAATCTGAAGGTTCCTGATGCATTTTCCTCAAACATTTCAAGGTGTGTCAACGTACAAGAGAAAAAGATACATGGATTGAAATGTCACGATCATCATGTATTGTTGCAAGACATTTTTCTAGTAGCTATACGTGGTTTGCTACCCAAGAAAGTGTGTGATCCAATTATAGCCTTAGGAAAGTTTTTCAAAAATATATACTCTAAGTGCTTGACGATTGAAGATCTTGATATCCTAGAGGCAAAAATTCCTGTTATTTTGACCAAACTTCAACTTGTTTTCCCTCCGGCTTTCTTTGATGTCATGGTTCATTTGCCAAGTGAGGCAAAGCTTGGTGGACCAGCTCAATATCGGAATATGTATCCTATTGAGAGGTAATTTATTATTTAATAATTTCGATGCTATAGTTTTAGAATGACACACATTATATTAATAAGTCACTTTATATAGGTATCTACGAACACTTAAGTCATATGTTCGCAACAAAAATCGTCCAGAAGGTTCAATTGCAGAAGGTTATTTGACAGAGGAAAGCCTCACATTTTGCTCACGATACTTGAAGAATATCTCAACAAAGTTCAATAAACCAACTAGGAATGACGATGTATCTGTGTCAAATGATGAGATGTATATCTTTAAAAAAAGTGGGCAAACAAAGGGTGCCTCAGACGGCATCAGGCTATCTCATGATGAGTTTAAACAAGCATGTATGTATGTGCTTCAAAATTATGAAGAGGTTTCACATTTCATGGAGTAAGTCTCTTATTAACTTCAAGATAGATTCACATTGAGATAATTTGAATCCGATTTATCTTAGCTAACTTAAAATGTAGGGAATATACAAGCAAGATTGAAAGCCAAAGTTCAATGAGAGCTCATAAAAATGGGTTTCTTGATTGGTTTCGTGCACGTGTAGGTGCATGTCTACTCAAATAATAATATTGATATTAGTTTATTCATCCCATCTTGTTATTGGTCATAACAATATTGTTCGTCTTTGTAGATATTTGTACTATCTCCACAAGGACGCACAAATGATGAGCTCATAAGCTTAGCCGTCGGTCCTGCACCATTAGTACATCGATATTCAACATTTGTGGTGAATGTATTTAGATTCCATACAAAAGAGCTTGCATTGAGAAGAAAAACGCAGAATAGTGGTGTCCTTGTGAGAGTAGATGATTTAGACTCTAATAAGGAGTATTATGGTGTATTAGAGGACATTTATGAGTTATCTTATGTGGGAAACAGAAAAGTTTACTTATTCAAGTGTCATTGGTGGGATGCGGCTCGCTTGGTAAGAGGATATAAGATTGACAAATATGGCTTCACAAGTGTGAATATTCGGTGTGCATTGAATACAAATGAGCCATTTGTGTTGGCATCTCAGTCAGAACAAGCCTTTTACTTGGACGACATGGTCGATAATGATTGACTTGTTGTTGTGAAGACAAATCCTCGTGACCTTTTCAAAATTCCTGATAATGATGATAATTGTGTAGATATTGAAGATGAAGAATTATTGAATGAAGAAGTTTATCAACAAGAGGAAGCTGAATTTAATACTTTGTACACCAATGACCAAGAAAATATTGTTGAGGTGTCTCTACATAGGGATAATGTTGAACCACAAAGTATTAACTACGATTATGCAAGTACGCAAGCTCAAAACGATGTGCATAATGAGGAAGATTATTTCATAATGACAATCATATAGAAATATCAGAGAGTGAAGATAGTGAAGAAGAGTTATTTGATGATGATGATGGGGAGGACACTAATACATCCTCTTGAAGTCTAAGAAGCAAAAGACGAATGATATAAATGTTACATCCTATTTTGAAAATTCTCTATATTTTTGTCTATGACTTTATACTACCCCATGTATTTGTTTGGAACTGTCAATGAACCAATGATTATTGATGCTTGAATCTTTATATTTCTTTTTTGATTCTATTCGTGATGCTTGTAGCTTTATGTTGTATTGGTCTTCCGTTGTATTGGTATAATGTACAGGTGGAGTAATGAATTGTGTTAAAAGAAGGGATCTGTTGTTCTATGTGCCTGCTAATTTGGGTGAAAAGTGTTCACCATCAACTAACAAACAGTAGAGCTTTCTTTACTTTAATATCTAGAGAAGCATGGACATATGTCCCCTTTCTATAGACATCTGAAGTTAGAAAATTAGTGAATTAATATTTTTTCTATTCTGATCAATCATTTTCTTTTTATGTTTCATTGCAGGAAATGAGAGGAATTGGACGAGGAAAACGTGGGAGAGGCGGGACGAGCTGTGGTCGTAAAATTTTTCAAGGACGTGGCAATTTTGGAGCGACGTCTCAGCCACACATACAGACCGGACGTGTATCTGATGCATCTGTAGAGATGGGACAACCAAGTAACCCGAATCAAGGAACTTTACAGATCGGACGAGTATCTACTAACTCTCTCCAAATACCTTCTTTAGAAACACAATCATCACAAAATGTAGCAGAACCTGTGCATTGCTCTCCAGAGGCTGAAAATTGTGCAAGTTAATTTCTGTTTTTTGTTGTTTTGTGAAAATTATTTTTACCGATTGAGTGGAGCTACTAATGAACAATAGTATCCTTTTGCTTCGCAGTTTCTTCCAGTAATAAAAAAATAGGAAGAGGAAGAGGAAAATACAAATCTAAAAGTTTAGAGGTAAAAACTAAGTGTGGTGGCAAAATCAAAATTACGATTCCAGATGACATTGATAGAGTAGTAGGTTCTGGTTCTAGAGATATTGTTAATTACTGTGGTTTGATTATGAGGAGCACTATCTCGTTCCAAGATGGAAATTGGCAGAAAATAGTTTTGAAACACGAAGAAGTAATGTGGTTAAAGGTCAAGGTAATAAACTACTTTCAATATTGTATTGACTTTAAGTTGCAATGTTTATTTATGTGGTTAGGATATTAAATATAATGTTACATTTATTGTCAGGATAAATTTGAAGTTTGCAGCGGGTTGCGAGAGCATAGGTTTCAGGCCTTTGTAATTAGCACTATGCAAATGGTTTATAGAACATGGAAAGCTCGACTCAGCATTATGTACTCTAAGTACAATACTAATAAAGAAAGATTATCTCATCGACCTGAAGATGTTGAGCATGAGGACTGGAAATACCTAATACAATATTTTGGAAGTCCGGAATTTAAGTATTAACTTAATACCTGAAGATTGTCTCTTTGAATGATGATTTATTAATCTGTTTACTTACAGGTTGTAAGTGAGAGGAACAAAAGAAATAGAGAAAATCAAATAATTAAGCATACTTGTGGTACAAAGTCTTTTGCAGAAGTAGAGGAATCTACGGTAAAAATATATTTAATCCCCTACTATCACATATGCTTCTTTGTTATTTACATATTTATATATTTTCTTATATATTTTTTTCCTTAACTATATTGTAGAGAAATCCTATTACTGGAGAATTGGACACACCAGATAAAGTTTGGGAGATCCAACATACACGCAAGGATGATAGAGGCGAACTGGTGTGGTTGGATTCACAATCCCAACAAATTCATGTAATTATCTAAAAACACTTATAAAGTTCTTTGTTTCTGTAAGTTTCATTTAATATGTTTTATTATGTTTTGATTTAAATGATTATGCATAAATGCAGGGTCAACTCCAGGAAGTTGTCGCTCAGCAACAATCTGAGGATATCAAGCATCCCATGACTAGAGATGAGATTTTATCCTCCGTTGTTGGTGAGAGAACAGGCTATGTTCGTGGAAAAGGATACAGAAAGAATCCTCCTAAAAAGAGTAACATTCAGCATGCAAACATAGAGGCCAGAGTGTCTTCTGCTATTGATATTGTGCGTCAAGAGATGCAAGCCGAGATGGATAGGAAGTTGCAAGAAGAACGTGAACAAATGGCTGCTGAGTTGCGAAGAAATATGGAAATTGAGTTGGAAAAGAAATTGGAAGAGGAGTGTCAACACGCAAATGAGGAGCGTCAACACGCAAATGCAGAAACAGACAAGAGGATCTCTCTAGAAGTGGAGAAGAAGATGCATGAACAATTTGCTAGTTTCTTGACCAGAATGCAACACCAACAGGTACTTGCTCCGCTCTTTCTTAACAATTCTTCTTCCTTCTCGGCATTTCTTCTTCCTTCCTTCTGTAGTGACTTCATATATAGGGGTTTAGTAACCACCAGGCATTGTGGTGTTCGCTATGATGGTAACCTTCTTATTTTGCTGTTGGACTGCCTTGGCTTCACATTGATTGTTGCCCTTTTGAGGTTGCCACTGAACTTTCCTTTTGGATCTATTGCTTCAATATAGATATGTCCATTTGCTTCAATAGAGATGATTACCAATCACTAAGTGCAGAAGCAATGGCAGAATCATCTGAAATATTCCTATTTTTGACACCAGTAACTTTGTGTTCAATTGGAAAGAACATATATATCTCAAAATCAACTTAAAATTACTACTTCCATATTAAGGACCTATTATATATAAGTACTAGACCAGCTACCTGAAACAGGTAATAGTAATAACCATGTACTAAATTTCGATTATGGTCAATTTTTGTGTACCAATGTTTATTCTACGCAACACTGAAATTGGAAAAACTTGTTTAACGGTTGGACAATAGACTCTGTTTTTCTTAATATCTGAGCTGGAAGATGAAGCTGGCCGCTTTTGAACAAATTTTATTATGTTTTGCCTCTTGAATATATGCAGCTTAGGTCAATGTTTGATAAAATACGCAAAGCATGCGATCAATATATAGATAAAAAAAGGGACAGCCTCACCTAATTCTTGGATTCTCTTTAATCAATATGACTAATTATTACGTTCATCTTTAGGTTACCAAATACCAAAATCATTTCTTGGACCAAAGCAAATCATAATCGCCTTAGTTAATCCAGTAGACCCTCTAGCCCTTGTCCCAATATTTCCCCTTTATCCACCAAGTGAAGTGTCCATTGTCACCATTCTTTATATGAACTTCCTTTAAATGTACCGTAGGAATCAACTTATATTCACTGTCAGAGTAATAGACTTTCTACACTATCAATATAACTTAACCTTCTATGCGATAGTAAGTCCACATGACCAGTCGATTAGCGTCCTCCCAAGTTCCTGCTTCTTCCTTCCATTTTCTAACTACAGAGAAATTGCTCAATGCTGAATAACATTAGGCAAAATAACAATAAATATATTCAGCATTACATTCAAAATACTATTAGCAAGTCTATCTTTACAGTGAATGAGCAGGTTTAGCATATTGTCCAACTTCTTATATCCCAATCCACTGTAAACTAGTTTTATTTAAGTGCCTTGGAAGTGAGTAAATTCTTAGACAGTGTATACAGATTTTTGGCTGAAGCTACATATATATAGTTTCTTTTCCTTGGTTCATGGAAAGCCTAGTTTATGATGTCTTATCCTTTATGCTTCTTTGACTGATGATGTGCTTCATCTTCACTCCTTTCTATTGGATGATCATGTTGGTTCTCGTGTTTGTGTTGCGTTGGAGAAACAAAGTGTAGTAGAAGTTCATTACAATCTTCACTTTCACACATATCTGGCCTACATCTGTAAGGTCCATCGTATCGTGATAATCTTGAGATATGAAACTCAGTTATTCCTCCACTTGGAGCTGCTGAGACTGCCGCCATTATTGTTGTATAATTTCTCGAGCCATCTAGTGCTAGTATTGCATTAGGAGGTTGTATTATTTGTTGGCATCCTCCGCAGCATTAAATAATTAACCAAATCATGACAAAAGTAGTAGCGAACCTCATTGATACAGTTAGTAATATTCTTGAGAAGGTCGATGACTGATATTTTCTTCATTGTTGAAGTCTTTAATTTGTTGGTGCGCAAATTTTATATATGAATGATGTCTTATAGTGACCTCTATTTTGAGTAATTGAAGTGCGAGCAACTATCTCTAGCATCTGCCCTAGTGAATCTTCCCTATATAGAAACACATTTTCTATTTTTGGAACCTATGTACTAATGGAAATATTGAATAGGTAGTTTTACTTCTATGAGATAAATCTCAGCTTCCATCTATCTTGCTGATAGAGTTTCAGTAGGCTTCCATATTTTGTTTACCTGATAGTGCATGTGCAAGAATGCAGTAACAAAAATTTGAGATTAGTGTTCAGGCAGTTTTGGACTGTCTTGGTTGTTAATACATATTAGTTATTTAAGTAGGTTCAGTGAATGAAAAAGTATAAGCACATGAAATTGGGTAATTAAGGCTAGGACAGGGGTAGAGCTTAAGTTAGAATAGACTTCTATTCCTCTCACTGTCCAATATCTCTACTTTATCCGTCTTTCGTGCAACTGTTGTATTCTCATTCTTTTACTGCGTGAAAACTTATGTTCTCACACTTGTGCCATTTCATTTCACAATTGAAATAGCATTGAACAAATTTACTTTGTGTTATACTAATGTATTAGCTTGTACTTTATTCGTCTATTTATATTTTTGGATATAACAAATCTTATTATGTTTCTTATATTTATTACTTTTGTCTAGAAGGGACAGGGCACTTAGACAGTGGTATCATTCAAGGATGGTGTGGAGCAAGGAGTAGTAACAAGACACTTAATATTTTGTCTTCTTTGGGATATGTATATGCGCACAATTACAATGCACAATGAAGTGTCAGGTAGTATATATATGTAATTGACTTTTTAGTAATGATAATATTTATAATGTTCGGCTTGAGAAATTCTTTTGGTGTTTGTCAAGCATTATTGGTTGCTTTAATATTGATAGTTAATTGATATAAATATCTCTATATGAAATTTTAGAGAATTAGATTCCTACTGGCATGGAACTGTATATAATTTTGGTCATTATAATTGCTGAGAAAATAACTTTTAGTGGCGGCAAAGTTTTGTCAAAAACTTAGTAACTGTTGCGACATATATGTTGCCACAGAATGTCAATTTCTTTTGCAGTGACTTTAGTCACTACAGGAAACATTGTGTCTTTCATGGATTAATATTTTTTGTGGCAACTTTAGTCGCTACTAAATTACCTTTATAGTGGCGACATAATCTTGCCACTGAACATAAAAAATTTTTGTGGCAACTTTAGTCGTCACTAAATTACCTTTATAGTGGTGACATAATCTTGCCACTGAACATAAATATTTTTTGTGGCAACTTTAGTCGCTACTAAATTACCTTATAGTGGCGACCCATATAATATTTGTTCTTATAGAACAATTTTTTGTAGCGTTTTTTCCAACCTTTTGTGCAAACTATTTCGCCACAAATTATGATCTATTAGTGGCGACTACATAGAGTCGCCACTAATAACCTTCAGTTACGGGTTTCCTTGTGGCAATACAAAAGTCTCCACTAATAACTTTTAGCAGCGACTCTTAGGGATGTTGCGGCGACTTTAGTCGCCACAATAAGGGTAATTTCTTGTAGTGGACTATGAATACTAGCCTCTAACTATTGGATGAAAAACGAGAAGTTGCACTTGTTCGGATGGCTGCGCAAAAACGAAGAATCGAGAGAGATTATAATAAAAGAACCAACCTTTGGGACTTCAGAATCGGGGACTTAGTTCTAAGAAAAGTCACCCCTCAATACTCGAGACCTAAACAAAAGGAAACTGGGCCCAAATTGGAAAGGACCATATCGGGTCCTCGGCGTCATAAAAAAGGAATCTTACAAACTTGGCACAATAGAGGGTGAACAACTGCCAAACAATTGGAATATATCAATCCTAAAACGGTATTATTACTAAGGTATGACATTCCCCCTTTCCATTTGTATTTGATATTAACTTATTGCAGGTGTTCGATCGAGGACGTCAACAAATTCTTCAACACAAGGACCTTAGGTTTTAAAGCACGCAATGGACTCTTTTTTCTTTAGATCAGTTTTTATGCCAAATGGGTTTTTTCGGCAAGCTTTTTAATGAGGCAACAATTATGTGCTACCTAAGGAAGATTCAATAGTATCCAAGGCTTCTTTACATTAAACCTCGAATACTGGGGGGTCACCCTTGGATGTTATATTTTTGAGGAAAGTACTTCATGTGAAAGGGTCTCGATAGGAAATGTTTATAATGGGCCAAATGATTGAATGAACCGTGTCCATATAAGTTAGTCGAGCCCCAATGGAAAAACATGTATGCTTGGATAAATTATTCAAAGAAGCATTCTTTCTATATCAAACATCTTGTGTCTCAAATAAAATTTTCTACTATACGAGCTCCATACTTATGATTTTGTGACAAATGGCTCAAGAGCCAAGCGCAAATATGCCTCGAACACTCGGGGTCTACCGTCAATGATCGACATATTCGAGTTATCTAAACTCGAATTAATATGACCTCAAAGAGGCATCCCTCGACCTATAGGCCAAGGCCATCATTCTCGAGGACTAACACTTCGAATAAGTTTGAAGTATTATTGGGGAATAAGCCCAAGAGGCACATCCAAATGCTACAGCCAAATTAATGCAGCTTAGAGACGTCTGAATCCCTCAATAAAAATAGGCCTTCAAATTCATTGAATAACCGGTTAAAAAAGCCTACCCTCAGCAAATAATCAAAAGGTCTTTGATAAAATCAGCCGTCAAAAAACCTTAAGAGGTATCAAATTATTTCAACACAAACGTGCTAAGGCACAAAAAGAAAAGGGGTTTCAATCGAAATCGAACCCTAAAAAAACCCAATGGGTAAAAAATACATGTTAAGGCATAAAGAAAATTTCACTAAGTTTTTTAAGCTGAAAGAGGGGAATAATAGCCATCTTTTAGAGGCCATATTGGCCCGATCTAAAGAGCCTAACGACTAATACACTTAGAGTTAGAGATCTTACTCTCACTCCACCCGAACCCAAGGGTCCGACTATTTCGAGCCCAAATAAAAAATGACTTGACTATGGCTCGGGGACTCATCATTATTCGACACAAACCTTAAAGAGCCGATGCCTCAAGTTCAACCTCATTCGAACTCAATTGTGGTGACTTCGAGGAAGCCACCCAAGACCAAAATCTCGAATGCACCATTTAAAGCATTAGATTGTGCTAAAGTTTTACAAGGAAAAAAATGTGTTTGTAGATAAAACTTGAGAAGGCATTCAAAAGAAATTTTTCTTTATATATTGATGAAGAAGGATATGTACAAGAGACCGATAGTGGTTTACAAAAATGGAAAAGAAAATAAAATCTTAACTATGCCCGGGGTTGGTTTCTCCCTCGGGTGCAGCTTCTCCTTCCGGCCCCTCGTCGTTAGCAGATCTGCCTTGGTTGCCTTCATCATCATCATCATTGTCAGAGGAGACAAACAACCTGGCATCAACTTCAAGTGCCTTAACTTGAGCTATCTCTTTGGAGAGGTCAAAACCTCGAGCATGGATTTCCTCGAGGGTGTCCCTCCGAGATTGGCACTTCGCCAAGTCATTGATCCATCTCTATCGATCAGAAGCCTCACTTAGCTACACTTGAAAAGCCTCAGCATCGGCCATATACACAGCTATGGACTTGTTAGCTATGATCTTCGTCTTCTCAGCTACCGCCTTGGCCTCAACAATCTCGACTTCAAGCTCCACGATCCTTTTGTCTTGGGCTGAAATTTTCTCTTTAACACTCCGAAGTTGGACCTCGGCCAATTACAGTTTGGGCAAGATAGCCTCTTTCTCCACATCAAGGCGGTCCGTGTTCTCCTTCCACCAATCACAGTCAGCTCTAATTTGATCGACTTCCACTCGGAGCAGCTCGATTCTTTTGAACTTTTGTTGCAACTGAGATATTAAAGTATTAGCCTCCACAGTTGGGTCGAGACCATGCTCTTTCAATGAGATATTACCTGCTCGTCCAGCTCGACCTCTTCCTTACGAGCTTGGGCCAAGTCTGCTCGAAGATCCCTGATCTCCTTTTCTTTCTGCGCATAAAGGCATTTGAGGGTGTCTCTATCATCAGTAAGCCTCTTGAGATCAGACTCACACTGATTTAGCTCGGTTTGGGATCTGTTGAACGCTCCCAGATGAAGCTTCACAGCCTATGGTGAAAGGAAAGAAATCAGAACAGGAGGAAATGGAAAGGAACGTAATAACGGGGGATGAGGTTTACCTGCTTTAGGAGACGATGGGCCTCATAGAAAACGATCGCCGCATCTAGGTCAGAAACATCATCGAGCCACGCAAGGAAGCTACGGAATATTTCTTCCCCATCGTGGGTTGTTCCCACATCGGGGGTCTCCATGGATCGAGCCTCCCGAAACTGCCCTTCAAAAATTTTAGCGTCGGGCAGTGAATCATCAATATTGATTTCCCCAAGCAAGTCGCTTGGGGCGCTCTCTCCCTCCAGAAGAGACCTAGAACTAGAGCCTATGGGCACACTCGTAGGTTGTACATCATGGTAGGAAATATTTTTGGCCCCCAGTGATTCATGGACTTTAATAGGAGCACATTCTAAGATCTCCTCGGTCCGAGGGTGAGTCTCATCGACCATCACCGGACCAACCATTGTTGAAGCATCGACACTCCCTCTCTTTCGAGGCACCAGCTCATAGCCGTCATCTTCCTTCTTTTCTTCATCTCATAGCTCTTGGGATACATCAGCAAATAGAGCGGCAGAGTCGTCCTTCGACTTACGAGCCTTACGCTTCTTGGGCTTTGGGGTATCAGAAGGTGAGTCCCTTTTCCTTTTCTTGTCCTTAGCTGGTTTGGGAGCCACCTCTTCCCCAGCTGGGGCCGGCCTTATTATAGCAACATCCTCGAGGCCTTCATAAAAATGAGTCAAGTATAAGTAAATAGAAACGCTGCAGAAAGAGTACACCAAAAGCTTATAAGATAAACATACCATGATTCTTGGCTTCCCATCTACCCCTTGCCAAGTCATGCCAGCAGCGCTCGGCATGGGAGGAAGTCGGGGCCAACTTTCGAACCTAGTGTTCGAGGTTGGGGATCGCATGAGGCATTGAAGCTACCGCTGGATAGCAAATTAAACCATTACATAAAACAAAAAATGAAGATCAAAAAACTAATGGGTAGTAAGTTACTTATGATCGGGGTTACAGTTCTCGGGGAATGGCAGTTTCTCCTCTAGGATGAGGTCGCAGGTCCTTACCCGCATGAACTGGCTCATCCAACCCCGGTCATTGTCCTCATCGATCCTCTCAAAAAAAGATTTCATTAATCGGTGTTGAAGCTTGATTAATCCTCGAAAAAGTCGAGGTCGATACAGCAATATGAGATGGCTGAGAATGAATTCCAACCCCTTGGCCTTTCTAGAAAAGAAGTGGAGCATGATCACTTTATGCCAGAACTAGGGACGGACCTAGCTGAGGGTAACCTGGTACTTCTTGCAAAAGTCAACGATAACTGGGTCAATAGGACCCAACGTGAAGGGGTAAGTATAGACACTTAGAAACCCCTCCACATAAGTGGTAATACTCTCTTCGGGGGCGGGGATCTCTACCACGACCTCAGCCTTCCAGTTGCAGTCTTTCTTCACAGTCTCTAGTTGGTTCGCCGTTATCGAACATATATACCTCGACACATGTTCACATCGTCCAGGAACCAATTGAGGGTTCTCGACTTTGAAGTTGCCTTTTAAGACACAAGGACCGAAAACGTACTCGTGAGGGAGCGGTTCTATCGGCGTTTTGTTACCGGCTGACTGGGAAGAAAAGGAAGAAGCTTTCTTCTTTTGCGTGATGGCCATGGAAGTTTTCGCCATTGTTTCACATTAAGGGAAGTGGAAAGAGATAAAAA